AAAAAAAAAAAAAAAAAGAAAGGATGAACTTGTGTCTGTGTCCACGTCTCCATGCCTGTTGTCTATGTATCACTCTCTGTCCTCATAAACCCACCAGGATTCAATTATGGGGGTCCACCCTCATGGTTTTATCTACTCCTCATCACCTCAGATTAAGTTTCCACCTTCTTAATAGAGTGAAAATGGCACACAAAACACCAACATGTGAACTTCTAAAGGACAGAGTCAAACCATAGTGAAGGCCCATGCTAGAAACCAGCCCCTTGATTTTGGACTTCTGCCTCTAGAACTGTGAGACAGTAAATTTCTATTCTTTACCAATTACCCAGTCATAGGTATTCTGTTATAGCAGCCAAAAATGGAATAAAACCATAAGAAGCGGGTGTTCTTTTAAGCCACTAAGTTTGAGGCATTGTTATGGTAGTGATAGAAAATTAGAGTACCTGCTATCTTCCAGATACAATTCATGGGACTTGCAAAACCTGGTAAAATCTGTTGACAGTGTTGCACTGGACTTGTGTTCTTTTCTCCCATTATTGCTCTCTACCCTTCCCTTCCAGTATCTGAACTGGAGAACGTTTTCCATATACCCTACTCGCATTGACTGAATAGGACATCCTGTCATACTTTCAACACATTATTTTCAAATGTGCATTCAACTGAAGTTCAAATAATTCCAATTCCAGAGCCTGAGGTCATTTCATTATCCCTGAAGATCTCACTTTCTTCACCCCAATCAGGTGAAAACCTACACTATTTTTAAAGATCTCTAGAGAAGGCTACTCAACATCTTCCATTTTAGAAATGACATTTTCAAACGTGTGGGACAAACATAATTTTAGACCTATCAATCAGCAAATATTTCACCATTCTTATTCATGACTTTGTGATGGGTCCTATGAGGGAAGGAGCAATAACACTCTATCCTTCCCCAACAGGAGCCATGGTCAGTTGAAATACAATGTAAACTGGGGCCGGCAGGTGGCGTGGTGGTTAAGGGCACTGGACTCCCACATCACCGACTGTGGTTCAAGTCCCAGACCTGGAGGCTTGCTTTCTCACGTTCCCTCTCTCTCTCTTTCTTTCTTGCACTTGCACTTGTCCCTTTCTGGTCAAATTAAAATAAGTAAACAAGAAAAGGTTTTTTTTAATTATTAAAAATAAATCAATAAAAGAAATATAATGCAAACCTATAATAATTAAATGACAAACCACAACAACTATAAATGTTCTAAGACAATAGATACTAATGTGTTTGATAAAGGATACAGACTCCAAATGCTTAGGATATTAGTGGGAGACCACTGCCAGCTAAGCAAAACAACGGAAAGCATCTAGTACCTATAATCTATAGCTTCCAGAGAGAAATTCAACTTCTAGCTGTCTTGGATGGGATACAAGAGGCAAGTCCAAGAAAACATCCAAATGTGAGAGTGGAGATACCCTAACATTTCTTAAGTGTTATCCTGAAGCATTCGAAACATTTATCTGGTTTCAACCTCTCTTCACACACAGATACTATCTTCAGCTCAGTCAGTATGATTAATAGAAAAGCAACTCCTGGCCAAAGTCTCTTCCCAAAACTCCGTTCATCATGTGACAAAAAAAAAAAAAAAAAAAAAAATTCCTTAAGCTCAGCCCTCCAAAGAAATTTATAGAGAATGATGCTAATAAAATAATTCACAAATAATTATTGAATATCATGTGCCAAGCATGGTACTGAGTCCTAGGGAAACTCAAATACACAATGTAATTTAAATAATAATTGTGTGAGGTAGGTATTATTATCATCTTTTGTAGATGTGGAAACTGAGGTATACATGGTTAAACAGTTTCCCAGAGTCACACAGATAGTAATTTGGCCCCAGAAAGGGAGGACAAGCAGATAAATCATTGCCATATGATAAGTGCTATATATAATAAAAGTTATGTTCAGTTAAAACTGTCAGCTTCTGCATTCATATTTTGATTAAACTAAGTATTTTTTTGTGATTTTTGCCACCTAAATTTCATCTTCTCAGAGCTTCTCTCAAGACTGCTTCTGACTAGGAGTAAACAATCCTTAATGTGGATTAGACGTGTGATGGGATTTAAAGAGGCACTCTAAGAGGATATGTCCCAACCGAAGGTCAGTTCATCCTGGAATTGGATTCTCTGTCAATCTAACACCAAAGTCTGCAGCTATTTCTTTAGGAAGAAAAAAGCAGTATGATTCTCCTTAGCTCAGCATTCTCATTGTCTCTAGGTAAAGTAAATCTGAGTTAAGAATGCCTGCATGGTGGGACCAGCAGTTGGTATAATGGCTATGTCGCTGGACTCCCATGTAGTCGACCATGGTTCGAGTCCTGGACCCGGTGGCTTAAACTCACGCCGGGTGCGTGTGCATGCGTGCCCAAGATCCCGAGAGAAGAATGGAGGAGAAGGGATTGCGGCGTGACCATCCCTGATTTCTCGCTTTCTGGCTCTCTGTCTTTCTGGCGAGCGCACATGCCCTATAACAAAAACCTCTCAGAAAAAAACAAACAAACAAAAAACATAATTTGTAAAAGAGGACAGAAGCCACACCCTCCTCACCCCCGACCTCGGGGACCCCTGGGACCCCAAGAAGGAGTGGA